ACTTGCTCTAAAATTATGCATCTTCTGTTTTGTTAAATGCGATTACTCCAGAGATAAAAGTTCAGGCTTTCCAAAAATTAACTCCTAAATAGAAACCCTATATTGACATAAATGAATATAGCCAGTTTTTTCCAGCCACTTTTTTGTCCCTGTTAAAATTGTTGGGCGCCTTATCTCTGCAAAAAAAAACATTCTGCGTTCTTCTGCAAATACAAAAGCTGTTTTCGGCAGCTAAATTGGTTTTGGACCATAAAACATTTTTGAAAGTTGATGCCTCAAAAGTTATGCTCACACAAAAGTTTATGCTCAAATATATATCTATATCCAATCCAACCAAAAATCATCCCGATAAGCATTTCTTTGATAAACTACTTGTCGTATTTCGCAGAGCTGGTAGTGTGGTTTATAAAAAATCTATTAGACAGCAACCTGTCGTTGGAAATGAAGAAGATGAATTTGCCGTAATTGGCTCTTTCTTCTTTCATAGAAAATTCCTTTACAAATCATCGTAAAATAAATCAAACAAGGGGCAGAAGAAAACGGAGTATAGGAAGATCGCTAAAAGATGTAAATTTCCCCCTCATCATATCCATCAATTACATCATAAACTCTTTGAAACCGATAATGTGCGACGGACTGAATTTTGTTTACGTGTTCAGGAGAAGATGACTAGATTTTATTTATTCACAGACGATTCTATGTTTCATAACAATGGATTAATGAGAGTAGACATAATTTCCTCTAATTCTCCTTCCTCATTCGTTTGCTTAATCCGCAAGCATATATCTGCTATTCCCGAAAGGCCATCTCACAACTATCCACTTAGGAATGCGGAGCACGATCTCTGTCTACCAACCCCGAGCTCAGAACTAGTTAAAGGCTCAATACTGTACAATGCCAAAAAAATGTACAATCATCTGCCTTTGAATATCAAGTCGCTTTCGTTCTTTCCCACATTTCGCAAAGCTCTGAAATCATGCTTACTGATGGAGAGAGCCCTATATGCGGTAAACACCTTTTTTGTTGATGTTTAATCATAAACAATTTTGAATTTTAAAATTTTGATCATCTCACACACTGGTTAAAAGTCTAGTATTTTGTGATTTAATATTTTATGACTCTTAAATGATTATATCCATTTACAATTTTCCTATTGTAAAATTTTATTGATATGCTTTTTTTGTGTTTGGCAATGTCCATGTATTAATGTAGTAATTTTAATGACGTAGATTTTTTTGAATTGTTTGATTTGTATTGTATGGTATTTTTTATTATTTGTATATATTTGTGTTTTTGTTTGTTTTATAAATAAATGCTTTGTCGATGAAGCTATTTTGGCTTTTTACACAATAAAGCGTTGTTTATTTGAATTTTAAGTTTGTTTGTTTGTTTGTCTTCTGGTCCTTTTTTATTTATGTTGTCTATCTTCTTTCCTCCAAAAATCTTCCTCAGTATTTTTCTTTCCCAAATCTCTAGCCTCGAACTTTCCGTTGCACTGAATGCCCACGTTTCACATGCATGCAGCACTATTGCCGTTATTTATTATTATCATTATTCCTTTCTATTACAGTGACAATAATTGACATTTATTTAGGAGCTTAGATCATCAGCTAGGGTTCATTGGCGTAACTGCAGTGATGCCCGGGGGTGCCGGGTCACATTTTTCTAAACGCCACACGTGATCGCGAATCGGCTCGAACCGAGCGTCAGCTCCTAAACGCCACTTGCGATCGCAAAACACCCTGCTAAATAGCACATGTTATCGCAAAGTAGCCTGCATGTGATATGCGCAAGTTATGTTTTGATTTGCTGAATACAAAATGAGTAGTTTCGTTGATTTTCCCGATTCTTACGAGTACAAAATAACTTCGGAACAAACAGTCAGAGTGAATTTAAGGACCAGAGAAGAAGTTGAAGTAAGTTATCGCAACAGCTAGTGAACCACCTTCACATTTACTTCAACCTTTAGTTCTCGAAAATTTACCGACTGATAAAAACGAAAGCTCTAGTCAGTCAGTTGATGATTACCGAGATGATAATAGTGGTTAATAGTGGTACTGATTTTGATACGAGCGCCAGCGGTACAATAAAATTAGCTGACAATAAAAGTGTTGACAACGCAACTACAGAGCTATTGAGTGATTGGAAAAGTTTCATAACTGATCTAGATAACAAAGTGATGAAGAACCTTGAAGATGATCCCGAGAATTTTCATTTTCCGGAGAATTTTCTCGGCTCGAGCCTGTATTCAAAGATACACAAAAAATATAAATAGTTCATCTTCTCTTTTGAGTGAACTTTACACAGCATTCAAACCTTCTTCTTCATCAAGAAAACAAATGGTCCACACTAGAAGAAAAAGAGTGAACATTTCTGTGCAGCCAACTAGTGTAGATCGAAGAAAAACCAAGTTCAGTGGCAAGAGACCGTTCCAGATTGGAAGAAAGCCTGTTAATTTTAAGAAGAATTTTAAGAAGAATTGCTCCTCATAGTTTGGCTGAATGTGTAAGCTAAAATCGAGCTTTAGGAGCTTGAAAATTCGCGAAGTAGATTTTGTTGTTTTATATATTTTTTAAATTTGTAATGTGTTCGTTTAATGTTTTTGAATTTTTTTACGATTTGATATAATATTTTAAGTTGTGGTTGTTTTTTTTATTAAAAGAGAATCCGCCGAGACTTTAGGGACGTTATCAGTGTTATTTTGTTTTTGTTTTATATATATTTTTTTGGCACAACTTTGATCAGGCTGCCATGGGTTTTGTATAATGAAACTCAAGAGCGTATACACTGTATATGCTAGAAAACGCAGAAAAATCCTTTATTCAGATGCAAATTCATATAACCATACCAGCTTTTCGGCCCCACCCAAACGACATGCCAATGGTTTTCCGAAAAATTTTCAATTTCATTACAACAGACATGGCCTGATTGAACTCGTACCACATAAGATAAGTCTTTGATTTCTGAATATTACGTGAAGGATATACACGTAGTAAACAAATTTGAAGTCAATCAGATATGTAGAAGTCAGTCAAAATTATTATATTATTTACTATACTAGGAAATATTATTTGCGATAACGTGTGCTATTTAGCAGGGCGTTTTGCGATCTCAGGTGGCGCTTAGAAGCTGACGCTCGGCTCGAGCCGATTCGCGATCACGTGTGACGTTTAGAAAAATGCTGCCGGGTCGCCCCCTCAGGTACTGCCGGGCACCCCCTAGAAAAATCTTGAATTTTGATTGAACGATGACTCTTGGCTAAATATTAAATTTTATTTGCTTGTGATGTGATGATGATATTTGATGGTCATTTTGGTTTAAATTATAGTTAATATTATTTTGCTTAGCTCAAAAAATGTGTGTTAGTTTTTAATTTTTTACAAAATTTGTAGGTATTTACGTAATCCACGGGAACACGGATTGATAACCAAGTCTATCAAATTTATTGATAGAGAAGTTTATGTAAACGTTTTATTCAAAAAATGTATTTATTTTAAGTGATATTATTCTTCATTTATTCAAAAACAAAATCCTAAGCCCCCCCCCCAGGATGGTTTGCTACGCTAATGCTAGGGTTGTCAGCCGTTCGGAATTTCCGGTAAAATCCCGGATTTAGGTAAGTTGTATTAAATGTTGTCCGGAAAAACATTATACTATTCCGGAGAGGGTCAAGCAAATGATAAAATCAAATGTTAGAAAGTGCACAAAGTAAAAATTGATGTACCTACATGGATGTACATACCTACACCTACACTTATATGATGCTTAACAATATTTTATAACATTTTTCGATTTAGCTTCGTTCGTTTACAATCTAATTATTTACCTTCATTTATGGTATTTTGGCAATGCTACAGGGTAATTAAAATTCGAACCCCACCATTGGGATCTCTAAAGCTATACGAGATACGAAGTTGGTTAAAATCAGGATAAAAAGTTGTGCATTGGTCCGCCTAATAATATGCCGTTTAGTAATATTTAAAATTCCGAGTAGTTCCAGAGATATTCGAAAAAAAATCGAAATTTGAAAATATATTTCGATATTTTTTTCTTTTCGTCGTTATTTGACAAGGTTTCTCAAAACTGAAAGATCATTTTCAATGCCACTTTTTTCCAGTTACCCAACAGTATTTATAAATTTGTCATTCGACGTTTTGTCTTTTGACCACCATCATCAACTTTACTTTTTCTTAGAGCGCCATATTAGATTTTAACACATCTAAATAATAGATAAATTCATAGCCATTATAATGATGTACAGGGTGAGTCAACGATAGAGTAAAGTCCATTATCTCATTTGTTTGGAGGTTTACAAAAAAATATTAAATATAAAAGTTATAGGGACGGTTAAGATACCTACACATTTTAAAATTAGTATTGAGTATACAGGGTGCCTCCAAAAAGTGTTTTTATTATTATATTTATACCATTTTTAAGCTCAACAAATATACTTAGTTCACAACACTATTTATTTAAACCAAAAGCTAGTCATACAAAACTAAAGTATCAAAACGAATGACAATGTCATGCAATAAATAAATAAACGTGGCAACTTGACATTTTTTACAGCAGAGCTACCACCTGTATCCCCAGCGCAAAATTTAAATTCCATGGTTGGCAACAGTGAATTTAAAAATCGCGCCCTTGATTACGCAACTAAAAGTTTAATTGATATCAAATATATATCTTTATTATTCGAGCATCAGTTGTGTATTTAAGACAAAGGTCTATCTAGATATGTAGGTAAATAATATAAGTCAAATAAATGTTTATTTTTCTTTAAGTAGAGTAGCTCTTCACCGTATTATACCATTTTTTACCTATTTTTTCAAGTTTTCGTAGAAAATGCCTTTTCTAATTATTTAGACCTCATTTATCACTATACCCATGGAATATTGACATTTTAGATTATTTTTGTAAAAATCTAATCGTTTAGCTACAATACTCCGTGTTGAATGTGGTGAACAACTCTGTATTTTGAAACTAAAGATGCATCTTACCGTCTTTTTGACTTCTTCTAGATAAATCTTGCGCCAAGTCAATATCCAAACTGCTTTCGGAGTCTGTATCCCTGGACCCAAAATCCTTACTTTGTTGATACGGTTCCTGATGAGGCATTGGTGAAACATTCCATGACACCAGGGGTGGCGGTTGATTTTTCTTTGGTCCACAATCACTCATTATCGCTTCGATTGAAAACGGCCTAGGCACAGGCCTTGTCGGTAAAGAGTCAGTTGACGGCTTAATATCAGTCTGTTCCTTAGCAATTTCCATCTTATTTTTCAGAAAAACCGAATTCAATAACTCATTTTAAATATTAAAACACAAGCACCACTAAAACGAGAAGTTATTTTAAATATTACTCATTATACACGATTAGAATTATCATTCAATCAAAATATAAAGTTTGTCACTACCATTCAATTCAATGAATCGTCGTCACATCACTGACAAACTTCGGAGGACCTAACGAGTCGACTGACTAACCATGACATAACGGTATTTTTAGAGAAATCTTCGGGCGTGACAGTCAGTTAGGCCACACCTTTGCGTCTGGATTGGCGAAGATAGAGCCAATGGCACGAGGCCAATCAGCAGGGATGGTTAAAGGCACTTATAATATTTAATTAGCCGTGGAAAACACAAATTAACGTCGCGTGTATGTGCCTCGGGGCAGTGGCGTATTAAGGTGAGGAGAGTGGGGCATCTCATAAATATTCGAATTTACAGCGTTTTGAATAAGTCATACTCACTTAACTTGTACATCTAATCAAACATTTATTGCTAAAATATTATTACCTTGAGTCACTAACAACTCTCATTATTTAGAGTTACATATCTATTAAAAGACATTTACCTAGGTATTAAAACAATATACAGGGTGGTCCGAACTGTATTCCGGAAACTTCGGCAGCATAATCTGCAGATAAAAATAAGTGAAAAAGTTAGTATAAATGTATGTCCTAAAATGGGCTTAGTTTCGAAGATACAGGGTGTTGAACTTTCATTTTTATTTTGAGTTTTTCCATGTAATTTATGAAGTAACGTCAATATTTGGATGAAAATTGGTGTCTGGGAGTTTTTGGACATGAGCAATTTGATTTTGATGTCAATATGGCTCCTACTTGTAGAGAGCGCCACCTACATATTTTTTAACTGGTTTGAAGAGTAATTTTCGGAGACGCGCACTAGTTAGGTTACTAGTTTGCGCACAAGCACGCCCACTTATGGCCTCTAAAATTGTGCACAGCGCCTGACCGGCCCAGTTATTAAGCTGTTTAAACGGGAGTTTATTGTTGCGCACAAGAAAATTTACTCGTTTGCTCATCGTCATAAAAAACAATTTCCGTACCACAAATTAGGGACAAGATTTTTATCTGTATACTTATAGGATACCTAATCTGTGATATAGAGTGTTTGATATCAAAATTCATAAAATTTTACAGAGAATTAAATTATGTAATAAAATATATAGGGATATATACTCGTTTAAAATAAGAAAGTTGCTGTCGACTTCCGGTATATATTGTAAATATCCGGTACATATTGAAAATATTTTTAATTGATAGATCTTATTGTGAAATAACGATGTGCAAAAAACTTCCGATCTAGATATTGTAGTTCTCTAGAAACTTCTAATGCACGCCGCGCTCAGCTTGGGACATCACATCAGTGGCGCATCTATTTTCATTATATTATTATAGTTTATCTAAAAGCCACACTTGATTGAGGATAGAAAAAATGTCCAAAATTTTACTGAAAAACACTTTTCTTAACAAAATAACAAAGAAAATTGAGACCAGATGGAAGTTTGACATACATATATCCTTCTTTCTCTCTCCTATGTAATGAGAGAGATAAATATATTCTAAACCTAATATAGAAATTTGAAAATTTACAACGTTGCCATATCTTCTATTTTTTCGGATGATTAGGGATTTTAAATAAATTACCTATTATGAGATGTGACAATATGTAGTTAAATATACCTATATCCACAAAGTTACGAGGAAAAGTTTTGATTGCATTGGTTTTAACTTCTATGCGGAGGGGGTTAATCTTTTTTGTTATATTATATCAAGAAAAGATAAACCCCCTCCGCAAATAAGTTGTAACCAATGCAATCAAAACTCTTTTGTGGAACTTCGTGGTTATAAATAGTCAGATCTCGTTAGCAAAATTATGGGAAGCAGTTATGGGAAGGAGTCGTTCCTCTGGCGACCGCCTTTCGTATTCCCAGAATGGGCGAAAAAAAACAGGCTAAATTTAGGTTTAGCATTGGCAACGTTGCTTTAAATGCCAGAAACACATAACCCAACATTTTCTGATTGTTTACAAATTTATTTTAGCAAATGTTTATTATGCATAGAATTGGTTAAAAAAGTAACAGAAAATAGCAAAAACATATTTAAAATATTTAAATTCCACTATTCGAGAACTCTTTAGTTTTTTAAAACAGATACGTCTACAAAAACTGTTGACGTTCTGTTAAAATGAAATATAATAATATAATTTTAATAGAACGTCAACGGTTTTTGTAGACGTATCTGTTTTAAAAAACTAAAGTGTTCTTGAATAGTTGAATTTAAATATTTTAAATAGTTTTTTTCTTTATTCTTTGTATTTTTCTTTGCTTCCCACGACGGAAAGAGATAAACTTTCCGAAACGTCAAGCATTTTTTTGTTCGTTAGGCAATTTTGTATATAATCTGTAAACCTAACTTCTGATAAGTAGTTTCCGTTTGGATTAACGCAGGAGTGTTAACAAAAAATAACTATTTTATTTTGTAGATTTTCTTGCAGTGGCGAAATACCCTTATAGAATTTATTTTTTTAGGAAAAAATAATTTTATTTATTTATTTCACCCCTTCTCGGGGGTGTATTTAAAAAATCTTTAGCAACTCGTTGTTAGATCTTTCATGGTAAGTTATATCAAAAATTCAAGTTTTTACCAAAACTTAGTATTTAAAGGCCTATTTTCTTATACTTACTATAAAATATCCCAACAAAATGTTTTCCAGACTTATACTCTTTACATAAAACCAATGAAAAAATAAACAACTCTATTAATTCAAATTTGTCAAGAAAGATGTTAAATAGTTGACAGAAAAGCGTTTTACAATGTCTACCATGCCGTCATTAAATATAAAAATATGAATTTAGTCTTCTTCCATAGTCTTTTTATTTAATGACTTTAGAATATTATTAAATTATTGTCGATTAAGTATATTTTTAGTCCCTGTAATTTATTAGTGTTAAGCCCCATCTACACGTAACGTTTTACCTGTCAGTCAAAACGTACAAGGTCTTGAAAAACTGTCGTCAGTTTTCTAGACGATGTTCCGTTTTACCTGACACGCTAGACTGACAAGTATAACGTTACGTGTAGGCGGGGCTTTAATGAGCTATTTGACTGCAGTTAGAATTAGTCTATATTAATTATTTGTCAATCGATTGCTTGTTATTTAGAGATATCTGTAGGTAATAAATATTTATTTCAAAATAAAATGTTTACTTTAATGACCTCCATACTCTTAAAATAAAATTAACTAAATTATCATTATCAAAGTCAGTTTGGGTTATCATAGTAAAGAGAGATACCTGAGTAAAGCTTGATTTTCTTGCATCCATTTTCCAACGATACAATATTAATTTTATTGATTGAATTAAAAGACTTCCAGATTGGTTAGATTAAGTCTGGGAGGGATAGTGGCAATATTTAAATAAAGTACTAAATATATTTTTGCTGAAAGTTGAGTGTGAAATAAAATATACTTGGATTGGTTTAGATTTTTTTATGAATAGTAGTATTAACTACTTTTGTAACAATTTTATTTTATATACATACACTTTATCTTATTTATAAATTTCTTCTTGGGAGGGGTAATTACCCCCATTACTCCTCCCGTATATGCGCCCCTGGCTTGGGACACCCTGTAGGTATATAAAATATTTAAATATTCATTACAAATTATGTTAAAAGATATTATTATTATTATTCACTATAAATGTAAATTCATGCTTTGAAAAAATTATTATCTATGACTGAAAATATCGTTAGTATTTTTTGTCGGTGGGTGGCATTTGACAAAATATTTTTTTTTGTAGCCAAATATCCAGATGTTTTCCTGTAATAAACTCGCCAGAAAGGTATCTATAATATGTCTATCCATTAATTTAAAGGTGATATTATTAAGAGGGCATTAATTTATGACATAAATGCTATAATTACTGCACAGGTCATTTATTTTATACCAACCCTAACATAAAGGTTTGAGTTCTAAAATCTTTTCGGCTCGTCGCCAATAACGTGGCTATAAATTATATGTCGCTTAAGTTAAATAGTCCAGATTTACGAGACTTAGATGAAATCATCGAAGAAATTGTTTAATTTACATAACTTAAGTTGTTGAATAGTTAATCTCTAGATATAATTAGGATACTTAATAATTTCATGTTAAGATGTGGATAAACTATATACAATTTATTTTATTAGACAATTAAGTTGGAGTAGTAATCAAAGATATCTCGAGCACGTCACGTCGATTAGTGTTTTAAATTGTGCTCTTTTTGATGTAAGAGAATTTTATACAGGCGTGTCAAATATGAGATAGACTTAACTGATATGCTAAAAGGAACTAAAACTCTAGCAATCAAAACACGCTTTTATAAGCACCCTTTTTTCCATTGCTGTCTCTAATATTGATTATATTACCTACCGGGTATTTCTCAAATATGGCTCAACCCTATACAACTTTTTAATTTTTTCAGATAGAAAACGAGATTTCACATGTATAACGTATACTTAGTTAGGATTAACGTATTCAATAATTTTCAGTCACTTCCTGTTTCACCGGAAATGACTACAACTTTTGATTTTTAAATGGCACCCTCGGTATTTCTATACTTTAATCGATAGAAAATGACACTCTGAATAGAATGACATATCATATCTCAACTTTGGACATTTTCGCTTAAAAAATCGTATTTTAAATTTCAATCCAGAGTGCCATGGCTGTGTTAAAAACACAAATTTTTAATCAAGGAGCCTTGGAAAAATTGATTTGATCGTCTAATGTTTTTCGTGTCTTGCAATGGCCGATTAAAAGATGCCCAAAGTGTATTTTTAATCATTAACATATTTGGAAAAATCATTTTTTTAGAATAATTTGGTACAGCATCCTTGGTATTTTGAACCAAATTGTCGTTATGAACCATATGAGAGAATGTCAAAAGTTGATATATGATATGTCATTCTATTCAGATTGTTATTTTCTATTGAATAAATTACAAAAATACCGAGAGTGTTATTTACAAATCAAAAGTTGTAGTGATTTCCGGTGAAACAGGAAGTGACTGAAAACAACTGAGTACATATCTTTATGTCATATACTAACATACCAAAATTACCAAATATCGATTTTTTATTTGAGAAAATAAAAAAGTTAAAGGG